TATACTGAATAAATTAAAAACCATGAAAATGAAAAGGGAGCTTTACTTTGTAGAGGAACAACCTCCAACAGGCCCCTTATTTGAATTCACTGAATCCAGATTTTTATTTGGATCAGAACCAGTTTGCAAACACTCGTAACTATCAGTCCTGAATCTCCGCCCACGTCTTTGTGTCGTGGAAATCCGTCCAGTAGTTTTTGTGAATCCTCCTGAATAACAGATGAAAGCAGATGAAAGCAGATGAAAGCAGATGAGGTGTAACATGAGTTCTAATGAAGATAACTTACATTTCCATGAAGCCTGTGAATCCATCTTGTAATAATTAAGGTTTAAATGAGCTTGAAGCCTCTGGATTTGATTATCGATCACTTGTTCCAATCTCTTAAAATGCTCACAGTCTTTTTTCACCAGGCTTTTCCTCTTTTTTTTAAAGTCATATTTTCTGCATCTTTAATGACACATCGACACTTTTAGAGAAACGTCTGAGAGCCTGAGTCCTGCACAGCAACTAAAGAGCTCATCCCCTCAGCCCTCGGAGACGCAGTGACCCTCCATCCCATCCAAACGTGCAGCATTCCTCTCTGATTTGTAATTCTGGATCGCTGACTACTTGGCCTCCGCCTTCCTCTGCTGGATTGTGAGGATTTGAGATCATCTGTGCAGCCTTTTGCTGCAGGATCGACTCTGCCTCTGTGACCGGCATGACGAAACTCACAGAGAGAGAGAGAGAGAGAGGGACAGAGAGACAAAGTGAGGTTCCTTCTCACAGTCAGACCATTTATTTTTAATTTCTCTGCTACACTGGAGCTTTTGTTGCCTTTTGGGAAATCTGCCCCCAAACTGCAAAGCGGCGACATTGTTATTGTCATTTAAACTCACACCCAGCTGAGCTTAGCAACATGTACAGTGTGGCAGACTTCCTGTTTAATAATGTATGAGAGAAAACGGCCCTGCGTGAACTTTTCCACCTAATTATTTCCACCAAATGACGACCTCATCCTTTCAGAAACCCCACGACTTACAACACTGGAGATATTTGGACGACTGCCTCCGTCTCCTCCTGCAGCCGGGAGAATAATGTTCGTCTCAAGATCCTGGAGAAATGAAGAGCTGCTGTTTAGCGTTCAACCAAACAGCATCTGCAAACCTCCAGCGTGTCCATCCTCCAACCAAATTACTTTATTTACTCTTGAACATTTGAACATTTCTTCTCTTGATAAGAAGACGACGTAATTCTCACGTCCTCGCGGTCCATTTTGTTTTATTTCCTTTTTTGCCAAGGAAGTGATTAGAGGGAGGAAATGGTGGAACAGAGGAACAGCAGCAGATCCATTTCCTCCCAGCTGTCATCTGCACCCCTCTCCCTTCCTGACGCTTCCATATCAAACCATCACATTTAATAAGGCCGCTGTAAACACTCCTCAGATTGAAGTTTTGCCCAACATCAAATGAAGGGTTCAAGTGTCCTGTATTGCCGTTAATATGCTTCTTTTTACCGACTGTGTCCGGGGATTTGCATAGTTGTCCTTTGTTGATTTATTGAATCATAGCGGACAGTGCGGCTCCGTGACAGTGGGCTCTCACGGGCCTCTTTATATGTTAATGCAGGATCCCGGAGGTTTTTAATAGAACTGAGGAATGAAATAGTCTTGCATAATTTCCCCATAAAGGCTGACACAGCTGCCGTTTCTGCCTCTTGTTCTCCTCGCCGCTGACGCTCTCCTTCAGCCGCCAGGCCGCGATCAAGAGCGAGACATTTCTCAGGTGTTGCGCCCCTTATCTGTTTTCTAAACTTGACAGAGCTGATAACGCACAGGAGTTGATGTATTTGTTCTCGGGCTGCAAGCGATAATTTACCCATTTCATTTTTTAATTTTTTTTATTTGTCATCCTCTAGATATTAAAGCAATCGTGCACAGAGATTCTGAGCGTGGAGCCGTCCACCGTCTGTGTGAACCGTGAGTAGATCCTCCTCCTGCAGGAATCCCTCTTTTTCGCTGCAGCATCACAGGACTCGAGACGTCTGTCCAAGAATAACTGGAAAGACGTCTCAGTTCTGAGCAGTGGTGACGTCGTGAGTCAGAGCCGACGAATATCAGTGTGGGTTGTTGGAAAACAATCTGACAGCACTCGGGTCATATCAGGAAACTCAAACCCGCCACAGAAGCTCAGAACGTTTCAGTTAGTGAAGGTTTTTAGCTTTTTAACTCTCACATCTGAGGATTAGTCGATTTATATCAGCGGTTCCCAGGATTTTTAATTTGTGCTTCATCAGGAGAATCTGTCTATCGGTGACCCTTCACCTCATTATGCGTAGTTTAAGTATTAGATGCTTAAAGACAAGTATTGAGTATTTTATGAGAGTATAAATATAAATATGTGTTGAGTCCATTCAAACTTCACAGTCTGTGAAAGTTCCCTGTAGAATTAAACGTGCATAGAAACTACAGAAACGATATCATGATGCAGTTTGAGGAAAGTCTAACTATATGTAGGTCGTCTCCTCCTCCCCCCCGTCTTATCTTGTGTTTACATTCCACAGAGTCCTTCGACATCGTCCTCAGAGGAAACGGCTTCAAACTCGGCCGCAGCAGCGAAGGCGTCGTCTGCAGCTTCATAGTCGACCAGCAAACCATCAGTGAGTGTCTGAAAAACTACAGCACGCACCTCCGCAGGTGTCCACCGTCCTGAAACCACACTTGAATTCACTAGATCCAGACTCATAAGTACCAGTCCTTTACTGACCAGGGATCAGTTTTAGAAACTCCTCCACCAGGGTCCATCAGTCTCCTTAACAAACCTTCAGACCAACAAACATTCTTCTTCTTTTTCTATTCAAGCGAGAGACTCCCAACTTTTCTGGCATGCAGCATTAGGCCCCACCCCCCTTTGATGATGTCACTGATGACATCATCTAAGGTCACGCCCCGGCTCGTTGGGCCCTGTGCTGGTGTTTCTGTTAAACCTCATCCTCTGCCTCAGCCGTCCGTGAAGCCGGTTGACTCGTTTGTGTTCGGAGGTGAAACAAACGTCTGCTGCTTCCCGGCAGCTCCGTCGTCTCTACGTGAGAGGGGCGGAGCCTCTGCAGGTCACCGTGCCTCCGTTTTTTTTTTCGGCCTCCCACTCTGCTCAGAAGAAAATCCTTTTTCAGGAAGCAAACAGCATTTGGCACCGAAATCCGGTCTTTTCAAGCTCTCGTTTGGCCGCAGGATCTGTGGGATTGACGGCTGCCAATGACAACACTTCCCGCTCTGACAAGTTATTTTTGATTTTTCATCATTTGACTAAAATACTTCAGCATATTTTTTTTTCTTCTGCTTTTTAACTCTCGTCTGAAAGAGGAAGTGGTCGTTAGCAGATGTCTTCCTGTTTGTCCTTTCCCAGTTTTAGGCTGCCTCCTCACATTTGCCCACTTGGGGCTATTTATTCCCTCATCGGCTTCTGCATGTGTTCAGGCCGACCTTTCTAACAGCGGGGCACCTTATAATTACGGACAGGGCGTCGTGGCAACTATGGAACAAGCAGCACATATGTGGAACAGATGCTACAGTCCTCTCCGTCACTAAACCAGTCGCAGCCCAGAGAAGAAAAAAAATCAATAATCTGAAAGACTCACTAACACGTGCACGGACACACACACACACACACACACACACACAAAATAAACACTCATATTATAATCAGTCAAAGAAATGAGCTTAAATTATACTCAGACATTTTGGACATTTGACAATTGAAAACTTTGGATGTTGCTCATTACACATGTTTCTATTTCATATGTAAAAAGACATTCGGAGCATTTCAAAATTAAAAAGATGTCCGCTCTCTCTCAGAGTGAAAACAAATGAAATAAAGTTTTCATTCAAAGTTTAACGCTGATGTTTCGTCCACTTCTTGATTCAGATGAATCCTGCAGTCACCACATCTGACCACAGTGGCCGCTGTTTTACAAAAGTGACATAGGCTCATTTTGCATAATGACAAAATGTCTGAAAAAGAAAACGTGATGTTGGTAAATGTGTAAATTTGTCTGATTCGTGTAAAAAGCTTGTTGATGTAGTTTTTCTTTGTTTTGCAGATAACAAGCCGAGCACAGTGCGCAATGATTATCTGCTGTGTCCTGCACCGAGGCTCTATGAAGTCGGACAGTAAGTGAATGGTCCAGTTAATTAAGACTTCTAATTGATTTAATCCAACTTTGATTCTTCTTTCAAACTAAAAGCCTGAGAGGGTTTTACCACCTTGACATGATTCAAGCTCTTAATTTCATTTCTTGGTTATTTAAGTTGAAAGAAACTGATTTCTAATTTTTTTAAACACAGAAGAAACACTTCACCCGACAAAATAAGAAAATTTAATTATATTTCATAAATCATGTTAAAGTAGAGCGGCTACAAAAATAGGGGCGTGACATCATGATTGACAGCTGGGAATGACCTGCAATTGGTCGATGCATGCATGGGCGGGACCTTTGTTTTCTTAACTACTTTTCTTCCTGCTCCTCCTCTTATTTCTCAGATTTAGTTTGTCGCCCGTCTGTACGTTAAAACCGTATCTGAGGACATGAAGAGTTTGCTGCAGCATAAAGACGCAGTCAACACTGTCGATGTAACTCGACAGGAAAAACATCCCGTACATAACAACCCGCAAAGATTTAAGCGAAAACAGTGTAAATAAGCGTTTATATCTGGCTGCGTTAGTTATTGTTTGACTTTAACTCCGTCTCTCTTTTAATCCCGAAGCACAACAGATGATCGCTAAGGCGTTCTAGATGGAACAGCAGATTTTCATGTCCTCGCCGACTGCAATCCAATCAAAAATGTATGATTACGAGTGCCGCTGGCTCCTGAAGGCGCTTCGGCTCTGAAACAGATTATATATCATATGATGTCGGTGACGCCGTCAAATCAACTTCAGCCTCACCTCAGATAATCTGCTCGGGTTTTAGTCCACGCGGCTCAGGATGACGTGTTTTTCTGCCCAAAGCTTTATGGGTGAGGAGCGACCGGAAACAGGGACCTGCTGCTCAGTGCTCCCAAACCAGTGAAGAAAATGCAAATTAACTGATCAAACTACAAACTGTTAATTTAGCATAAATTCACAAATCAAAAAGACTCATTCATGTCCTCAGATACTGTTTGAACGTGTCTGTCTCACACACACACACACACACACACACACACACACAC